TAAAGGAAATAGGGTGCCATTTATCAAGCAGACTGTGTTAAGTGTTTGGGTCGCCCCAGGCACATATGAATATTATCCGCTAGGACTTTAATTGTTATTGCAAGATCTTGGTACTGTGTCCATATTAGGAAAGCCTCATTTCTGCTGAGACCGTCCCAGCAAGACAAAGGAGCTGATTGTGGACTACAGGAAACATTCACATCGACGGGGCTGTAGTGAAGTGGGTCGAGAGTTTCAAGTTCTTCTGTGTCCACATCACTAAAGATCTATCATGGTCCAAACACACCAACACAGTCGTGACGAGGGTACGACAACGCCTCTTCCCCCTCAGGAGAATGAAAAAATATGACATTGGCCCTCAGATCATCAAAAAGTTCCACAGCTGCATCATTCAGCGCATATTGTCTGGTTGCATCACCGCCTGGTATGGCAACTGCTTGGCATCCGACAGCAAGGCGCTACAGTGCGTACGGCCCTGTACATCACTGGGGCCAAGCTTCCTGCCATCCAGGACCTCTATACCAGGCGGTGTCAGAGGAAGGCCCTAAAAATGGTCAAAGACTCCAGCCACCCAAGCCATAGACTGTTCTCTCTGTTATAGCATGGCAAGCGGTACCAACGCACCACATCTGGAACCAACAGGACACTGAACAGTTTCTACCCCCAAGCCATAAGACTGCTAAACAGTTAGTTAAATAGTTAACCAAATAGCTACTCTGTTTTCTTTCTCTATGCAATGTTGGGAATGGCCCGTTAGTAAACATTTCACTGTTAGTCCACACCTGTTGTTTACGAAGCATGTGCTGTACTCCAATTCATATTTCATTACAAACTGCAGATATTTTAGTGAGACTCATCTATCCTCTGAAATCTATCACGTCCAAACAGGTCCTTCATGTAAATTGTCTTTTTTATAGACAGTACGTTTATTTTCAGGAACTGAAAGAGAGAAGCTGTTTAAAATACAGTGTGACTGTGCTGTACAAACAGGATGCTGCTCTTCGAATGTATACAGACATCAACTGTGATGGTCAGATAACACATTGTAGCTCTGTATTCATTTCTTCATTGACTGTGGGACATTTGATAATTTCTTTACTTTTGGAACCAAACTAAACATCAAATATTTATTCCAGTATCCTTGAGATACAATTCAACTGGAGGGTGAAAGGGCAGAATATTGGAACAACTGAAAGGTATGAGCTGCTGTTAGTTACCAAGGAGGAACCAATCTGACAAACAAGAAGAAGTAGAAAAGACTCTATACTGTTTGCAGCATTCTGAAGCGTGTTACTGTATCAAACCAACGTTCTACAGATATCAACCGGAACCAAACTATTCTGACAATTATCTCAGTAGATTTGACTGACGTCAGGAGAGATGAGAGCTATGTTTTCCCACCCTGCAGTCCTGTTCCTGTGGATTCAGAGTGCTAGCGGATGGATGCATCGCAAATGCCAGATTTAAAGGCCAAGAACAGCGCCGGAAGAAGATGGCTGCCGTTTTACAGCCCTCTAACCAATTGTACTATTATGTGTGTTTTTCCGCGTTATTTGTAATTTATTTTGTACATAATGTTTATGCCATCGTCTCTTATAACCAAAGAGAGCTTCTGGATATCAGGACAGCGATTACTCACCTCGCGTTGGACGAACACTTTTTTTTCAACGAGGCGTTCGCGAAGGATATTCTACAGACTCCAGACAAGGCCCAGATCCCCGTCATTCGCGTGAGGAAGAGACGGAGATACCGTGGACGTAGGTCGGGGTGCCTTGTAAAGATCCGACGGCGAACGAGTAAACTGCCTCTCCCATCAATCCTATTAGCCAACGTTCAAGCTTTGGATAATAAAATGGACGATTTAAGATTACGGTTATCCTACCAACGGGACATTAAAAACTGTAATATCTTATGTTTCACGGAGTCGTGGCTGAATGACAACAATGACAACATTCAGCTAGCAGGCTATACGCTACATCGGCAGGACAGAACGGCAGACTCGGGTAAGACGAGGGGTGGCGGTCTCTGTATTTTTGTAAACAACAGCTGGTGCACAAAATCAAATACTAAGGAAGTCTCAAGGTTTTGCTCGCCTGAGGTAGAGTATCTTATGATAAGCTGTAGACCACACTATTTACCAAGAGAGTTTTCATCTATACTTTTCATAGCTGTCTATTTACCACCACAAACCAATGCTGGCATTAAGATTGCACTGAATGAGTTGTACAAGGCCATTAATCAACAGGAAAACGCTCATCCAGATGCAGCGCTCCTAGTAGCAGGGGACTTTAATGCAGGGAAACTTAAATCCGTTCTACCTCATTTCTACCAGCATGTTAAATGTGCAACCAGAGGGGAAAAAACTCTAGACCACCTTTACTCCACACACAGAGACGCATACAAAGCTCTCCCTCGCCCTCCATTTGGCAAATCTGACCATAACTCTATCCTCCTGATTCCTGCTTATAAGCAAAAACTGAAGCAGGAAGCACCAGTGACTCGGCTAATAAAAAAGTGGTCAGATGACGCAGATGCTAAGCTACAGGACTGTTTTGCTAGCACAGACTGGAACATGTTCAGGGATTCTTCAGACAGCATTGAGGAGTACACCACATCAGTCACTGGCTTCATCAATAAGTGCATCGATGATGTCGTCCCCACAGTGACCGTACGTACATACCCCAACCAGAAGCCATGGATTACAGGAAACATCCGCACTGAGCTAAAGGGTAGAGCTGCCGCTTTCAAGGAACGGGACTCTAACCCGGACGCTTATAAGAAATCCCGCTATGACCTCCGACGAACCATCAAACAGGCAAAGAGTCAATACAGGTCTAAGATTGAATCATACTACACTGGCTCTGACGCTCGTCGGATGTGGCAGGGCTTGAAAACTATTACAGACTACAAAGGGAAGCACAGCCGCGAGCTGCCCAGTGACACAAGCCTACCAGACGAGCTAAACCACTTCTATGCTCGCTTCGAGGCAAGTAACACTGAAGCATGCATGAGAGCACCAGCTGTTCCGGACGACTATGTGATCACGCTCTCCGTAGCCGATGTGAGTAAGACTTTTAAGCAGGTCAACATTCACAAGGCCGCAGGGCCAGACGGATTACCAGGACGTGTACTCCGAGCATGTGCTGACCAACTGGCAAGTGTCTTCACTGACATTTTCAACATGTCCCTGACTGAGTCTGTAATACCAACATGTTTCAAGCAGACCACCATAGTCCCCGTGCCCAAGAACTCTAAGATAACCTGCCTAAATGACTACCGACCCGTGGCACTGACGTCTGTAGCCATGAAGTGCTTTGAAAGACTGGTCATGGCTCACATCAACAGCATAATCCCAGAAACCCTAGACCCACTCCAATTTGCATACCGCCCCAACAGATCCACAGATGATGCAATCTCTATCGCACTCCACACTGCCCTTTCCCACCTGGACAAGAGGAACACCTACGTGAGAATGCTATTCATTGACTACAGCTCAGCATTCAACACCATAGTGCCCTCAAAGCTCATCACTAAGCTAAGGATCCTGGGACTAAACACCTCCCTCTGCAACTGGATCCTGGACTTCCTGACGGGCCGCCCCCAGGTGGTAAGGGTAGGTAACAACACATCTGCCACACTGATCCTCAACACGGGGGCCCCTCAGGGGTGCGTGCTCAGTCCCCTCCTGTACTCTCTGTTCACCCATGACTGCATGGCCAGGCACGACTCCAACACCATCATTAAGTTTGCCGACGACACAACAGTGGTAGGCCTGATCACCGACAACGATGAGACAGCCTATAGGGAGGAGGTCAGAGATCTGGCCGTGTGGTGCCAGGACAACAACCTCTCCCTCAACGTGACCAAGACAAAGGAGATGATTGTGGACTACAGGAAAGAAAAGAGGACTGAGCACGCCCCCATTCTCATCGACGGGGCTGTAGTGGAACAGGTTGAGAGCTTCAAGTTCCTTGGTGTCCACATCACCAACGAACTATCATGGTCCAAACACACCAAGACAGTCGTGAAGAGGGCACAACAAAGCCTATTCCCCCTCAGGAGACTAAAAAGATTTGGCATGGGTCCTCAGATCCTCAAAAAATTCTACAGCTGCACCATCGAGAGCATCCTGACTGGTTGCATCACCGCCTGGTATGGCAACTGCTTGGCCTCTGACCGCAAGGCACTACAGAGGGTAGTGCGTACGGCCCAGTACATCACTGGGGCAAAGCTCCCTGCCATCCAGGACCTCTATACCAGGCGGTGTCAGAGGAAGGCCCTCAAAATTGTCAAAGACTCCAGTCACCCTAGTCATAGACTGTTCTCTCTGCTACCGCACGGCAAGCGGTACCGGAGTGCCAAGTCTAGGTCCAAAAGACTTCTCAACAGCTTCTACCCCCAAGCCATAAGACTCCTGAACAGCTAATCATGGCTACCCGGACTATTTGCACTGCCCCCCCACCCCATCCTTTTTACGCTGCTGCTACTCTGTTAAGTATTTATGCATAGTCACTTTAACTCTACCCACATGTACATATTACCTCAACTAGCCGGTGCCCCCGCACATTGACTATGCAACGGTACCCCCCTGTATATATAGCCTCCCTACTGTCACTTTATTCTATTGTATATATAGCCTCCCTACTGTCACTTTATTTTTTACTTCTGCTCTTTTTTTTTTTTTCTCAACACTTTTTTGTTGTTGTTTTATTCTTACTTTTTTGTTTAAAATAAATGCACTGTTGGTTAAGGGCTGTAAGTAAGCATTTCACTGTAATGTCTGCACCTGTTGTATTCGGCGCATGTGACCAATAAAATTTGATTTGATTTGATTTGATTTGATTTATGACAGTGGTGAAGACTTGGGTGACTTTGCCACCTGGAACTGCACCAACCTACCTCATCATGAAGAACATTACACTGCTGCCTGTGAAGATGTTACAGCCATCGAAGAAGATCTACTTGGACTTCCCCCTAATATCAATAACCTCTGCATAACTATGACACATGGCGAAAATAGATCCATGTCTCTTGGCTTTTTCTCTCAGTTTCAGGATCTGGAGTACCTGTACATTGACGGCTGTTTTGCTCAAATCCTTCCAACTGGGAATAGCCACCTTCCAAATCTGGAACACATGTACTTGATAGGTAAATGGGGAATGGGCTCTGGGTGCTGTGATTGTCATATTGGGCCTCATACATTCAGAGATCTAGTTAAGTTAAGTCATTTGACCATACATGGTTACAGGTTAAGAGCAATGACCCCAGATGTTTTCCATGGCATCCCTCAGTTACAAAGATTCAGCATTAGTGAAACCTGTGAAGAGGATTTGTCAGAGATACTATGCAGAATAATGAATATAAAGTCACTTATAGAGATAAGTGTAGACGCACCAGTGATACAATCGTTAAACCAATCAAACTGCTCCAACAACAACCAAAGCGTGACATCTGTTTTTAACAATCTAACAAGAGTTGACTTATTATTTGGTAAAATAACACATATAGAGGAAGGTGCAATGGCTTGGCTCCAGAACCTGACATTTTTAAATGCGGCTTTCAGCCAGGAAGTCCTACTGCGCCTTCCCCTTTCTGGGATTAAGCAAATCCAGCACTTCAGTTGCTGTGGTAGCAATGACATTGATATTGAAAGTATCTGTAATGTCGTGTTTTTGCTTTCAATCCAGCAAATATATGTATTCAATGCCAATACAAGCAGCCTCTCTATGTCCAGTTTTGAATTGTGCATTGGGCTAGAACATATGCATTTATCTGGACCTGGAGCCATCTATCCTACTCCCCATTTGAAATGGAATTTCATTTCCAGTCTCAAAAACCTTAATCAATTAACAATATATGGCCTGACAGATAACATACTTGATATTTGCTCCTGCCAAAAACAACCAATCACATGGTTAACAAAACTCACTTTAAGGTTGAACAATCCACAAATACTTTTTGCAAAACAATTTAGCTGTCTTGTTAAACTGCAGTACCTGGATTTAACACATAATTTTATTTCAAACATTGAAGACTTTGCTTTCCTGGGATTGACAAATCTGGAGTCCTTAATCATTACAAGAAACAACATAACACAGATCCATGCAAACACATTTTTTGGTTTAAGTAGTTTGACACGTTTAGACCTCAGGAACAATCCACTTATTCACAACATTGAGGCAATGTCTTTCACACACCTCACGTCTCTAAAACAAGTGTTTCTCGGGCAAGTGCACAATCCACTAACAGAACCTGTGATCAAGCTGAATCTGACACTTATATTTGGTGGCATTCTGAGTCAGCTGACTGATCTGTACATTAGTTCAGCTATGAGGCCGATGCAGTTGACTATCGGCAGTAACATCACATCTAAACAGAACCTGAGTCTCCAGGTCAAAGGCCAGACGGTTTCATTTGAAGACTGTGACAGACCATTCTTTCAGTCCGTAACCCATCTTAATACTGATGCTGAAGAATTCCTTTGTGGATCTGAATTCATGGGAAAGTACTTCACGTCTGTGGAGACATTTGACTACAGATCTAAGCTTTCAGCTAAAAGTGTTGATTTAACATCAATTAATCAGCTGATTCACCTGAGGAAACTGGCTCTAAGACGGGTGGATCTTTTAATACAGCGTTCTGCCAACATCATTTTTCACAACCTGACCAAACTGGAGGTTCTGGAACTTTATAACTGCAGGATTTATTCTTTGGAGGGGAGTTTAACTAAAGACTTAAAATCTTTGAAAACATTGTATTTGCATATCGAGAACATTTATAATGTATTCTACAGCTTTACTGAACCTCTCTCTAGCCTTAAGTATTTGATACTTTTGAAGTTTCAGATGTTTTGCAGTTGTGACAATGCTTGGCTCATTACATGGGCCAAGGGGTACAGGCAAGTTGAGGTGATCATGATTTCTCCGTATTCACATCAAGTTATGTATGCTCTGGACGATTTGATATGCTTGTCGGACAACGGAATAGACACACCTAATTTTGTAAAGTACACAGAAGACAACTGCTCAACAGAGGTGGACTTTGTGCTCTTTGCTGCGACTGGTCTGGGAGTCCTGTTCTTCATGCTGGTGGTGTTGGTTCACAACCTGGCCGGCCCCTACCTCCTCCCCCTCTACCACATCACCCTTGGCTGGCTGTCGGAGGCCATGCGATCCAACACCAGGGGGCGCTACCACTACGATGCGTTTGTCTCCTACAGCGGGAAGGACGAACACTGGGTGGTGGAGGACCTGCTTCCCAATTTGGAGCAGAGGGGTCCTCCTTTCCTGCGCCTCTGTCTGCACAGCAGGGACTTCCAGCTGGGGAAGGACATTGTGGAGAACATCACAGACAGCCTCTACCAGAGCCGCCACACCCTCTGCCTAGTCAGCCGCCACTACTTGCGCAGTAACTGGTGCTCCCTGGAGATGAAGCTGGCCACCTCCAGGCTGCAGGTGGAGCAAAGGGACGTCATCCTCCTGGTCTTCCTGGAGAAGATCCCCCCTCGCCAGCTGTCTGCCCACCACAGGCTGGCTCGCCTGGTGAAGACCAGGACCTATCTGGACTGGCCCCAAGACCCCAATCAGCACCAGGCATTCTGGGACAGACTGTGGGCTAAACTGAAACCTCACACTGAAGCGTGAGATCAGAGGTTGATGTAGAATCTTGTGTTTATGCAGATGTAATGTTGACACATATTTTGAGGTATTGAATTTGTCGTTTTTGAGATTTGTTAAGACAATTGTGATGAAGTCCTTTTAAATGCTCTGTCTGGAGTGTACTTTCTCTGATTCATCTGAAATTACTTAGAAATAATCCTATTTAAATTTCATAGAAAAAAAGCCAATAATTTTACTTCCCCAAATTTCATCAGCTCCTGTTTGTATTTTTCAACAACTAATCACTAACACAAATCTTTGCTTGTATATTTGTTGCTAAGAGGAACTGAAAAAGGTGTGATTTAGCTCATTTCTGTTGTATTTCAGATAACAACTACTGTATGCTCCTGTGAATGACAATACATGAATGACCAATGACCATGAACCATTTATTAACGGCAATCCGTGAATGACCAATGACCATGAAGCAGGTATTAATGACAATACATGAATTACCACGAAGCAGTTATTTTTATTTCAAAATCGATCAAAGAGTTTTATACAGAAATGTAGTTGCTAGTTGTTTAACTAAATGTGTTGCTAGTTGTTTAACTAAATGTGTTGCTAGTTGTTTAACTAAATGTGTTGCTAATTGGCAACTAAATGTGTTGCTAGTTGTTTATCTAAATGTGTTGCTAGTTGTTTAACTAAATGTGTTGCTAGTTGTTTAACTAAATGTGTTGCTAGTTGTTTAACTAAATGTGTTGCTAGTTGTTTAACTAAATGTGTTGCTAGTTGTTTAACTAAATGTGTTGCTAGTTGTTTATCTAAATGTGTTGCTAGTTGTTTAACTAAATGTGTTGCTAGTTGTTTAACTAAATGTGTTGCTAGTTGTTTAACTAAATGTGTTGCTAGTTGTTTATCTAAATGTGTTGCTAGTTGTTTAACTAAATGTGTTGCTAGTTGTTTAACTAAATGTGTTGCTAGTTGTTTAACTAAATGTGTTGCTAGTTTTTTAACTAAATGTGTTGTTTGAATGTTGTCTGTATATGGTTTATTACACATTTATTTGATACATTTCTTATCTCATGGGCGTGGGGAGGTGTCCCCCTTTCTGGCCAATGAAGTGATTTCTGCACAATATTTGTTGGAAACTGGCTTCTGTTTCTGATTTGAAATAAAATGCTATATGTCCCTGCTCCCTGCCTTAGCATTACTCATTTTAATGTTATATTCTAGAATGCCTCCATATTCTATATTCTACATGTTCTTCGCTCTCAAATCAAATAATATTTTATTCATCACATGCGCCGAATACCACATGTGTAGACCTTACCGTGAAGTGCTTACTTACAAGCCCTTAACCAACAATGCAGTTCAACAAATAGAGTTAAGAGAAAATGTACAAAATAAACTAAAGTAAAATAATAAAATCAAAAAGTAACACAATAAAATTACATAACAGTAACGAGGCTATATACAGGGGGTACCGGTACCGAGTCAATGTGCGGGGGTGACTGTAATAAACAGCGAGTATAAACAGCGAGTAGCAGCAGTTTAAAAACAATGGGGGCGGGGGGGTGAAATGTAAATTGTCTGGGTGGCCAGTTGATTAATTGTTCAGGAGTCTTATGGCTTGGGGGAAGAAGCTGTTAAGGACACTTTTGGTTATAGACTTGGCGCTCCGGTACCGCTTGCCATGCTGTAGCTGGGAGAACAGTCTAAGGCTTGGGTGACTTGTGTCTTTGACAATTTTTTGGGCCTTCCTCTGACATTGTCTAGTACATAGGTCCTGGATGTCTGGAATGTTGGCCAAATTGATGTACTGGGCAGTACGCACTACCTCTCCCTTAATGTGAGCAACACAAAGGAGCTGATCGTGGACTATAGGAAAAGGAGGGCCGAACAGGCCCCCATTAACATCGACAGGCCTGAAGTGGAGCGGGTTGAGAGTTTCAAGTTCCCTGGTGTCCACATCACCAATCATGGTCCAAACACACCAAGACAGTTGTGAAGAGGGCACGACAACACCATTTCCCCCTCAGGAGACTGAAAAGTTTTGGCATGGGTCCCCAGTTCCTCAAAAGGTTATACAGCTGCACCATCGAGAGCATCCTGACCAGTTGCATCACTGCCTGGTATTGCAACTGCTCTGCATCTGACCGTAAGGCGCTACAGAAGGTAGAGCGTACGGTCTTCTGAGCAGGTCAATGTAGGAGTAGGTGAAAGTCCCATACAGACAGCAGACAGACCAGTCTATAATCTCACAGGGGCTCCCAGTCATTGTCTAGTTTGCTTTTGGCTCCATAGAGAGTAGGGGGCTACATACACGTGACCTTGTCACAGGGAAAGCCAGGGGGGATGGGACTGGAGCTGTCTGAGCTTCCTGGTTGGGTGGGGTTACAGAGGTGAGGAGGAGGAAGAGGAATCAAAAGACCTCTGTTGTGTTTTCAGCCACATAAACACAAAGTAGCTCTGTCATACTGTACATTCCTGTAGATTGGAACAGATAGCTTTTAGTGAGTACAGTAGAATATCTAATCAGAGTGGAACAGTTACCTTTTAGTGAGTACAGTATAATTTCTAATCAGAGTGGAACAGTTACCTTTTAGTGAGTACAGTAGGATATCTAACCAGAGTGGAAAGGGAACATTTTTGTGAGTAGAGTAGGATATATAACCAGAGTGGAACACATACCTTTTAGTGAGTACAGTAGCATATCTAACCAGAGTGGAACAGATACCTTTTAGTGAGTACAGTAGGATATATAACCAGAGTGGAACAGATACCTTTTAGTGAGTACAGTAGGATATCTAACCAGAGTGGAACAGATAGCTTTTAGTGAGTACAGTAGGATATCTAACCAGAGTGGAACAGATAGCTTTTAGTGAGTACAGTAGGATATCTAACCAGAGTGGAACAGATAGCTTTCAGTGAGTACAGTTGGATATCTAATCAGAGTGGAACAGATACCTTTTAGTGAATAGAGAAGTATATTTAACCAGAGTGGAAAGGAAACCTTTAGTGAGTAGAATAGGATATATAACCAGAGTGGAACAGATAGCTTTCAGTGAGTTGTAGTGTATTAGGATTATGTCTTTGTTAATGGTTTTTAAGTGGAACTGAAGGGATGTTTATTTTTGTTCAAAAGTAGCCATTTGTAGGGTGACGCCCCACGGGAGACAGGTGATTGGACAGCAGGGGCAGCAACCCATATTTTTGCATTCTTTATAAGTATAGGCTGGAGGCAGAGGGGGTTGGAACAGACAGATTATCTTTGGAACACTGTTCTCAAGCCCTGCAGGGTCTGTAAACTTATGCTGACATCTTGTGATATGAATAAAACTTATAATCAAAGTGCAGCCTAAGCGGACTCTTTGTTTGACAGCAATAATCACCAGCATCGACGCGATACGACAAATGGGGGCTCGTCCGGGATCTGTCTGCATCGTTCTTTGTTCCATTCCTGAGTCGCGAGGTGACTACCGCTCAAGCCGGCTATAAGGTGAGATTTCTCACAAAAATTGGGCGTTAGTTGTTTCGCTGGCTCATTGGGGGGCATTGGAAGGGTGTACCGTGTAAATTACTTGGGTTTGTGCTGATGTGGTGTTATTGGAACAGATAGCTTTTAGTGAGTACAGTTGAATATCTAATCAGAGTGGAACAGTTACCTTTTAGTGAGTACGGTAGGATTTCTAATCAGAGTGGAACAGTTACCTTTTAGTGAGTACAGTAGGATATATAACCAGAGTGGAACAGATAGCTTTTAGTGAGTACAGTTGGATATATAATCAGAGTGGAACAGATACCTTTTAGTGAGTACAGTAGTATATCTAACCAGAGTGGAACAGATAGCTTTTAGTGAGTACAGTTGGATATATAATCAGAGTGGAACAGATACCTTTTAGTGAATAGAGAAGTATATTTAACCAGAGTGGAAAGGAAACCTTTAGTGTGTAGAATAGGATATATAACCAGAGTGGAACAGATAGCTTTCAGTGAGTACAGTAGGATATATAACCAGAGTGGAACAGATACCTTTTAGTGAGTACAGTAGGATATCTAATCAGAGTGGAACAGATACATTTTAGTGAGTACATTTAGTTATCTAATCAGAGTGGAACAGTTACCTTTTAGTGAGTACAGTAGGATGTCTAACCTGAGTGGAACAGATACCTTTTAGTGAGTACAGTAGCATTTCTAACCAGAGTTGAAAGGAAACCTTTAGTGAGTACAGTATGATATCTAACCAGAGTGGAACAGATACATTTTAGTAAGTGCAGTAGGATATCTAACCAGAGTGGAACAGATAGCTTTTAGTGAGTACAGTAGGATATCTAATCACAGTGGAACAGATAGCTTTTAGTCAGTACAGTAGGATATCTAACCAGAGTAGAATAGTTACCTTATAGTAAATATAATAATAAAAACAGCAATAATAATAACAGTAGTAGTAATAATAATAATAATAATAATAATAGTAATAATAACAATACTAATAATATTTTTTATAATAATGATGTCAACAGCACAACTTCATTAAAGAAGTTTCCCACTTCCTCTTTTGATATTTACTAGAGAAATTAGTAAAGTTAGAAAAAATATTAAGTACTGTATTAAAATTCATATTTTTATTTTACCTTTATTTAACTAGGCAAGTGAGTTAAGAAGAAATTCTCATTTACATTAACAGCCCCCCTACCCCGTCCAAACCCTACCCTAACGACAATGGGCCAATTGTGCACTCCCCTATGGGACTCCCAATCACAGCCGGCTGTGATACAGTCCGGGATCGAACCGGCGTCTCTAGTGACACCTCTTAAACTGAGATGCAGTGCCTTAGACCTCTGCTCCACTCGGGAGCCCCTAACGTTTCGTTACAATCTTCAGATATTTTAGTTAGACTCATCTGTCTTCTGAAATCTATCAGATCCAAACAGGTACTTCATGTAAATTGTATTTCTTAAAGACAGTACGTTTCTTTTCAGGAACTGAAAGAGAGAACCGTAAAAACAGGTAAAAATAGACTTTCACAAGCTGTCTAACATACAGTGTGACTGTGCTGTACAAACAGGATGCTGCTCCTCGAACATATGCAGACATCATTTGTGATGGTCAGAGAACACGTTGCAGCTCTGCATTAATTTCTTCATTGACTGTGGGACATTTTATTATTTATTTACTTTTGGAACCAAACTAAACATTAAATATTTATTCCTGTATCCTTGAGATACAATTCATCTGGAGGGTGAAAGGGCAGAATATTGGAACAACTGAAAGGTATGAGCTGCTGTTAGTTACCAAGGAGGAACCAATCTGACAAACAAGAAGAAGTAGAAAGACTCCATACTGTTTGCAGCATTCTGAAGCGTGTTACTGTATCAAACCAACGTTCTACAGATATCAACCGGAACCAAACTATTCTGACAATTATCTCAGTAGATTTGACTGACGTCAGGAGAGATGAGAGGTATGTTTTCCCACCCTGCAGTCCTGTTCCTGTGGATTCAGAGTGCTAGCGGATGGATGCATCCCAAATGCCAGATTTATGACAGTGGTGAAGACTTGGGAGACTTTGCCACCTGGACCTGCACCTACATACGTCATCATGAAGAACATTACACTGCTGCCTGTGAAGATGTTACAGCCATCGAGGAAGATCTACTTGGACTTCCCCCTAATATCAATAACCTCTGCATAACTATGACACATGGCGAAAATTGTCAGCTTCCTGCCTCCTGTTTGTCTCCGGGCCTCTAGAGGTCATCTGTGTTCCCCTCTGCCTTAGTTCTTCCTCGTGTGTCCTAATTAGCTTGATCCAGGTCACCTGTGCCTTGTTTCCCCTTGTGTATTTTAGCTGTGTGTTTTCCCCTTGTTTCTCACTTGGTTATTGAGTCCTGGCTATGTGTCTCCTGCTTTGTTCCACCGTGTCTTTCCAAGTAAGGTTTTCTAAGTTATCTTTAGTTTGTTTTTCTCCCCTCGTGGAGTTATTTTGTTTTGCCTCCTGTTTTGTTAATATACCTCTTTCTGAGAAGAACTTTTGTTGGACTATTTGTGAATGGCGAAGAACCTTTGTTTTTATATTAAATCTACTTGGCCTGGAGTATTGCCTTGGGTGTTTCATTTGGGTCCTACTACACCTCCTCTGTGGCTAAGGGGTATTACCCCCAGCTCTCCACATCTGAGACCGGAGTTCTAGCCCAGCTTGTGACAGAATAACCAAGTCAATCATGGACCCAGAAACACTCAGTTCCCAGGACCTGTTGGCGGTGATCACTCGACATGAGGCTTCTTTCCAGCGCCATGAAGCCGTTCTCAGCCGACAAGAGGAGCTGATGGCTAGACATTCTCAACTCCTGGCCGAAATGATGAGTTCCCTTCACCAGCTCTTTGAACGCCTCCTTGGTCCTCTCCCTTCCCCCAGGTCACCTCCCAGTGACGACAGGCCTTCTCGGTTGGCGGAGCCCCGACTACCACCTCCCAAGCCCTTTTCTGGGGATCCAAGCTCTTGCCAGGGTTTCCTCACCCAATGCTCCCTCACCTTCGAGCTCCAACCCTCAAGTTTTCCCACAGACCGTTCCAAGATTGCCTACATCATTACCCTTCTTTCAGACAAGGCGCTCGCCTGGGCCTCTGCGGTGTGGCAGTCCCAGGAGGCCTGTTGTGACTCCCACGCTGCATTTGTAGAAGAGTTCAAGCGGGTGTTCGATCATCCTGTCAGTGGGCGGGAGGCTTCCAAGCGCCTACTGTCTCTCCGTCAGGGCTCCCGAAGCACGGCAGATTTCGCCATTGATTTTCGGACCATAGCAGCAAGGAGCGGATGGAATGATGAAGCGCTGAGGGTCTGCTTTCAGGGAGGGTTATCTGAGCCCCTTCAAGATGAGTTAGCCACCCGAGAACCAGCTGGAGATCTCGAGTCCCTCATAGCCTTGGCCATCCGCCTGGACAATCGTCTAAGAGAGCGGAGAACGGCTCGCCGCCAGGTGTCTCAGTCCCAAGTTCCTCGGAGCAGCTCTGTTTCTCCTGTTTGGACTCTGTCATTCAGAGCTTCCCCGGCTCCTGAACTGCTCCAGGATTCCCCGGAGAGCATGCAGTTAGGCCGTTCCAGGCTTTCTCCCAATGAAAGGGAACGTCGCATGAGGGAGCGTCGGTGCCTCTACTGCGGGGTTGCCGGCCACTTCCGCTCCACTTGCCCCGAGCTTTCGGGAAACGCCAGTCCCCGCCCAGCTACAGGAGGGCTGTGATGGGGAGAATTAGAGCTCCTCCTACTAACGCTGTCCTGGCTATTCCAGCCACTCTGTCCTGGGAGGGCCACCAGCATCGGGTCCAGGCTATGATCGATTCCGGTGCCGCAGGTGATTTCCTGGATGTAACCTTGGCTAAGGAACTTAAGATCCCTACCCAACTACTTCCTCATCCCCAGGCAGTTACAGCCTTAGATGGCAGACCTCTGGAACCAGGAAAGGTTACAGAGGCGACTCAGTCCCTGAGACTTACCATCTCTCAACACCAGCAGGAGGAAACCTTCTATCTCATTGACTCTCCCGAGTATCCTATCATCCTGGGTCACCCTTGGCTATGCAGACATAATCCCCAGATCGACTGGTCTACTGGCACCATTCTAAGCTGGGGTCCCACTTGCCAACTCACCTGCATGCTTCAGAGTCCCTCAGCCCCTAGTACCCAGTTTCAAGAGTCTGTTGACGTCTCCCTAGTCCCCAGTGTTTACCATCGGTTCAAGGCTGTGTTCAGCAAGGCCCGGGCTACTTCCTTACCGCCTCATCGCACGTATGACTGTGCCATTGATCTACTCCCTGGGTGCTGCCCTCCTAGAGGTCGGATCTTTTCCTTGTCCTCCCCCGAGCACGCAGCTATGGACACCTACATTAAGGAGTCCTTGGCAGCCGGCCTCATCCATGCCTCTACTTCCCCGGCTGGGGCGGGCTTCTTTTTTGTTGAAAAGAAGGACGGGGGTCTTAGGCCTTGTATTGATTACCGGGGACTCAACAAGATCACGGTTCGGAATCGATATCCTCTTCCTCTCATGGCCACTGCTTTTGAGCTGCTTCAAGGGGCTTCCATTTTTACTAAACTGGATCTCCGCAATGCTTACCATCTCGTGCGGATCCGGCAAGGTGACGAATGGAAGACGGCGTTCAACACGCCCACGGGGCACTATGAATATCGGGTGATGCCGTTCGGGCTCACCAATGCCCCCGCAGTATTCCAAGCCCTGATTAATGATGTTCTCCGGGATATGCTTAATCTGTTCGTCTTCGTGTACCTGGACGATATCCTCATCTTCTCGAGGTCACTGAAGGAGCATGAGGGGCATGTTAGCCGGGTTCTCCAGAGGCTCCTTGACAATCACCTCTATGTTAAACCTGAGAAGTGTGAATTTCATGTTTCTCAGACTCAGTTTCTCGGGTTTATTGTCACTCCCGGGCACCTAGAGATGGATCCCAAGAAGGTCGAAGCGGTCCGCAGCTGGCCCACACCTGCCACGGTCAAGGAGGTTCAACGGTTCATTGGCTTTTCTAACTTCTATCGGAAGTTCATCAAGAATTTCAGCTCAGTGGTAGCCCCCTTGACGACGCTTACCAAGGGAGGAGGGACCAAGATTCACTGGGGTCCGGAAGCAGCAGGGGCCTTCGAGGATCTCAAGCGCCGCTTCACGTCTGCTCCGATTCTGGTGACTCCTGACCCAGAAAGACCTTTCGTGGTGGAGGTGGACGCCTCAGAGGTGGGGGTGGGAGCCGTCCTGTCACAGAGGGGTGAGGATGGGAGATTACACCCTTGTGCCTTCATGTCTCGCCGCCTGTCTGAGGCCGAGCGCAACTACCACGTGGGGGATCTAGAGTTGCTTGCAGTAAAACTGGCCTTGGAAGAGTGGCGCCATTGGCTTGAGGGGGCTCAGCACCCGTTCCAGGTTCTCACAGACCACAAGAACCTGGAATATCTCCAACAGGCTAAGCGGATGAACCCTCGGCAAGCACGATGGTCCCTTTTCTTTAATCGATTCCAGTTCCTCCTGTCTTACCGACCTGGCACCAAGAACGTCAAGCCGGATGCCCTGTCTCGAGCCTATTCTCCCGAGGTACAAGAGAAGCCCTTGGCATCGATTATTCCGAGGTCTAGGATCGTCGCACCTCTTCAGTGGGAACTAGAAAGAGGGGTACGAGAAGCCCTTGTCCATGAGCCCGATCCAGGCGGTGGTCCTGCCGGTCGCCTGTACGTTCCTCTCTCTGTTCGGGCCCGCGTCTTGCAGTGGGGTCATGAGTCGCCCTTGACATGCCATCCAGGCAGTGCTCGCACACTGGAATTCCTCCGACGGCGGTTTTGGTGGCCGTCCATCAAGAAGGACGTGCAGGTCTATGTTGAGGCCTGCCCGGTGTGCAACCAGGGAAAGTCGACGCGCCAGCGACCCCAGGGACTGCTCCATCCCTTACCTATTCCTCGAAGGCCATGGTCACACCTTTCTCTGGACTTTGTTACGGGACTTCCTCCATCCCAGGGCAACACCGTCATCCTAGTGATCGTTGACCGGTTCTCTAAGGCTGCCCGGTTTATTCCCCTGCCCAAGCTGCCCTCGGCTAAGGAGACTGCTGAGCTCCTCATGAACCATGTCTTCCGGATATTTGGCATTCCCCTGGACGTGGTCTCTGACCGAGGTCCCCAATTCTCGTCCCGGTTTTGGGGGGCCTTCTGCAGGCTTATTGGGGCCACAGCCAGCCTATCGTCAGGGTTCCATCCAGAGTCTAATGGCCAAACGGAACGGATTAATCAGGATCTGGAGACCACCCTGCGGTGTATGGCGGCCAGTAATCCCACGTCTTGGGCCACCTATATCATTTGGGCTGAATATGCCCACAACACCCTCCAGTCTTCAGCCACCGGATTGTCCCCCTTCGAATGCCAGTTCGGTTACAACCCTCCATTATTTCCAGAGGAAGAGGCGCAAGTTGGTGTTCCCTCGGCCCAGCGCTTTGTCCAACGCTGTAGGCGGACCTGGAAGAAGGCCAGGTGTATCCTCCTTCGGACCTCCCAGAGATACCAAAGTCAGGCTAATCGACACCGCCGGACGGCCCCTAGTTTCCGAGCTGGTCAGAGAGTTTGGTTGGCCACTAAGAACCTGCCACTCCGGGTCGAATCCAAGAAGCTTTCCCAGAGATACATCGGCCCTTTCCGCATTGCTAGAAAGGTTAACCCTGTTTCGTATCGTTTGGTTCTGCCTCGCTCCCTTAGAGTTAACCCCACTTTCCATGTTTCACTCCTTAAACCTGTCTTGTCTTCTCCTTTTGCCCCCCCACGCAGACCCCCGCCACCTCCCAGGATCATTGACGGCCAGCCAGCCTACACAGTCCGCCGGATGCTGGACTCCCGGAGGGTCCAGAACTCTCTGCAGTATCTGGTGGACTGGGAGGGCTACGGGCCAGAGGAGCGCTCCTGGGTTCCAGCCAGGGACATCCTGGACCCAGGTTTGATCCGAGATTTTCGCACCCTGGGGCCGGGGTGTTCTGGAAGGAACGTCAGGAGTCGTTCCTAGAGGAGGGGGTCCTGTCAGCTTCCTGCCTCCTGTTTGTCTCCGGGCCTCTAGAGGTCATCTGTGTTCCCCTCTGCCTTAGTTCTTCCTCGTGTGTCCTAATTAGCTTGATCCAGGTCACCTGTGCCTTGTTTCCCCTTGTGTATTTTAGCTGTGTGTTTTCCCCTTGTTTCTCACTTGGTTATTGAGTCCTGGCTATGTGTCTCCTGCTTTGTTCCACCGTGTCTTTCCAAGTAAGGTTTTCTAAGTTATCTTTAGTTTGTTTTTCTCCCCTCGTGGAGTTATTTTGTTTTGCCTCCTGTTTTGTTAACATACCTCTTTCTGAGAAGAACTTTTGTTGGACTATTTGTGAATGGCGAAGAACCTTTGTTTTTATATTAAATCTACTGGCCTGGAGTATTGCCTTGGGTGTTTCATTTGGGTCCTACTACACCTCCTCTGTGGCTAAGGGGTATTACCCCCAGCTCTCCACATCTGAGACCGGAGTTCTAGCACGGCTTGTGACAGAAAATAGATCCATGTCTCTTGGCTTTTTCTCTCAGTTTCAGGATCTGGAGTACCTGTACATTGACGGCTGTTTTGCTCAAATCCTTCCAACTGGGAATAGCCACCTTCCAAATCTGGAACACATGTACTTGATAGGTAAATGGGGAATGGGCTCTGGGTGTTGCGATTGTCATATTGGGCCTCATACATTCAGAGATCTAGTTAAGTTAAGTCATTTGTATATACAGGGTTACAGGTTAAGAGCAATGGCACCAGATGTTTTCCATGGCATCCCTCAGTTACAAAGATTCAGCATTGGTGAACCCTGTGAAGAGGATTTGTCAGAGATACTATGCAGAATAATGAATATAAAGTCACTTATAAAGATAACTGTAAACGCACCAGTGATACAATCGTTAAACCAATCAAACTGCTCCAACAACAACCAAAACGTGACATCTGTTTTTAACAATCTAACAAGAGTTGACTTATTATTTGATGAAATAACACATATAGAGGAAGGTGCAATTGCTTGACTCCAGAACCTGACAATTTTAAATACGGCTTTCAGCCAGGAAGTCCTACTGCGCCTTCCCCTTTCTGGGATTAAGCAAATCCAGTAATTCAGTTGCTTTGGTAGCAATGACATTGATATTGAAAGTATCTGTAATGTCGTGTTTTTGCTTTCAATCAAGCAAATATATTTATACAATGCCAATACAAGCAGCCTCTCTATGTCCAGTGTTGAATTGTGCATTGGGCTAGAATATATGCATTTATCTGGACCTGGAGCCATCTATCCTACTCCCCATTTGAAATGGAATTTCATTTCCAGTCTCAAAAACATTAATCAATTAACAATAGATGGCCTGACAGATAACATACTTGATATATGCTCCTGCCAAAAACAACCAATCACATGGTTAACAAAACTCACTTTAGAGTTGAACAATCCACAAATACTTTTTGCAAAACAATTTAGCTGTCTTGTTAAACTGCAGTACCTGGATTTAACACATAATTTTATTTCAAACATTGAAGACTTTGCTTTCCTGGGATTGACAAATCTGGAGTCCTTAAACATTACAAGAAACAACATAACACAGATCCATGCAAACACATTTTTTGGTTTAAGTAGTTTGACACGTTTAGACCTCAGGAACAATCCACTTATTCACAACATTGAGGCAATGTCTTTCACACACCTCACGTCTCTAAAACAAGTGTTTCTCGGGCAAGTGCACAATCCACTAACAGAACCTGTGATCAAGCTGAATCTGACACTTATATTTGGTGGCATTCTGAGTCAGCTGAGTCATCTGTACATTAGTTCAGCTATGAGGCCGATGCAGTTGACTATCGGCAGTAACATCACATCTAAACAGAACCTGAGTCTCCAGCTCAAAGGCCAGACGGTTTCATTTGAAGACTGTGACAGACCTTTCTTTCAGTCCGTAACCCATCTTAATACTGATGCTGAAGAATTCCTTTGTGGATCTGAATTCATGGGAAAGTACTTCACGTCTGTGGAGACATTTGACTACAGATCTAAGCTTTCAGCTAAAAGTGTTGATTTAACATAAATTAATCAGCTGATTCACCTGAGGAAACTGGCTCTAAGACGGGTGGATCTTTTAATACAGCGTTCTGCCAACATCATTTTTCACAACCTGACCAAACTGGAGGTTCTGGAACTTTATAACTGCAGGATTTATTCTTTGGAGGGGAGTTTAACTAAAGACTTAAAATCTTTGAAAACATTGTATTTGCATATCGAGAACATTTATAATGTATTCTACAGCTTTACTGAACCTCTCTCTAGCCTTAAGTATTTGATACTTTTGAAGTTTCAGATGTTTTGCAGTTGTGACAATGCTTGGCTCATTACATGGGCCAAGGGGTACAGGCAAGTTGAGGTGATGATGCTTTCTCCGTATTCACATCCAGTTATGTATGTTCTGGAGGATTTGATATGCTTGTCGGACAATGGACTAGACACACCTAATTTTGTAAAGTACACAGAAGACAACTGCTCAACAGAGGTAGACTTTGTGCTCTTTGCTGCGACTGGTCTGGGAGTCCTGTTCTTCATGCTGGTGGTGTTGGTTCACAACCTGGCCGGCCCCTACCTCCTCCCCCTCTACCACATCACCCTTGGCTGGCTGTCGGAGGCCATGCGATCCAACACCAGGGGGCGCTACCACTACGATGCGTTTGTCTCCTACAGCGGGAAGGACGAACACTGGGTGGTGGAGGACCTGCTTCCCAATTTGGAGCAGAGGGGTCCTCCATTCCTGCGCCTCTGTCTGCACAGCAGGGACTTCCAGCTGGGGAAGGACATTGTGGAGAACATCACAGACAGCCTCTACCAGAGCCGCCACACCCTCTGCCTAGTCAGCCGCCACTACTTGCGCAGTAACTGGTGCTCCCTGGAGATGAAGCTGGCCACCTCCAGGCTGCAGGTGGAGCAAAGGGACGTCATCCTCCTGGTCTTCCTGGAGAAGATCCCCCCTCGCCAGCTGTCTGCCCACCACAGGCTGGCTCGCCTGGTGAAGACCAGGACCTATCTGGACTGGCCCCAAGACCCCAATCAGCACCAGGCATTCTGGGACAGACTGTGGGCTAAACTGAAACCTCAGACTGAAGCGTGAAATCAGAGGTTGATGTAGAATCTTGTGTTCATGCAGATGTAATGTTGACACATATTTTGAGGTATTGAATTTGTCGTTTTTGAGATTTGTTAAGACAATTGTGATGAAGTCCTTTTAAATGCTCTGTCTGGAGTGGACTTTCTCTGATTCATCTGAAATTACTTAGAAATAATCCTATTTAAATTTCATAGAAAAAAAGGCAATTTTTTTACTTCCCCAAATTTCATCAGCTCCTGTTTGTATTTTTCAACAACTAATCACTAACACAAATCTTTGCTTGTATATTTGTTGCTAAGAGGAACTGAAAAAGGTGTGATTTAGCTCATTTCTGTTGTATTTCAGATAACAACTACTGTATGCTCCTGTGAATGACAATACATGAATGACCAATGACCATGAACCATTTATTAACGGCAATCCGTGAATGACCAATGACCATGAAGCAGGTATTAATGACAATACATGAATTACCACGAAGCAGTTATTTTTATTTCAAAATCGATCAAAGAGTTTTATACAGAAATTTAGTTGCTAGTTGTTTAACTAAATGTGTTGCTAGTTGTTTAACTAAATGTGTTGCTAGTTGTTTAACTAAATGTGTTGCTAATTGGCAACTAAATGTGTTGCTAGTTGTTTATCTAAATGTGTTGCTAGTTGTTTAACTAAATGTGTTGCTAGTTGTTTATCTAAATGTGTTGCTAGTTGTTTAACTAAATGTGTTGCTAGTTGTTTAACTAAATGTGTTGCTAGTTGTTTAACTAAATGTGTTGCTAGTTGTTTATCTAAATGTGTTGCTAGTTGTTTAACTAAATGTGTTGCTAGTTGTTTAACTAAATGTGTTGCTAGTTGTTTAACTAAATGTGTGTGTAAAATGTGTTGTTTGAATGTTGCCTGTATATGGTTTATTACACATTTATTTGATACATTTCTTATCTCATGGGCGTGGGGAGGTGTCCCCCTTTCTGGACAATGAAGTGATTTCTGCACAATATTTGTTGGAAACTGGCTTCTGTTTCTGATTTGAAATAAAATGCTATATGTCCCTGCTCCCTGCCTTAGCATTACTCATTTTAATGTTATATTCTAGAATGCCTCCATATTCTATATTCTACATGTTCTTCGCTCTCAAATCAAATAATATTTTATTCATCACATGCGCCGAATACCACATGTGTAGACCTTACCGTGAAATGCTTACTTACAAGCCCTTAACCAACAATGCAGTTCAACAAATAGAGTTAAGAGAAAATGTACAAAATCAACTAAAGTAAAATAATAAAATCAAAAAGTAACACAATAAAATGACATAACAGGTAACGAGGCTATATACAGGGGGGTACCGGTACAGAGGCAATGTGCATAGATAATAAACAGCGAGTAGCAGCAGTTTAAAAACAATGGGGGGGGGATGTAAATAGTCTGGTATGGCCAGTTGATTAATTGTTCAGCAGTCTTATGGCTTGGGGGAAGAAGCTGTTAAGGACACTTTTGGTTATAGACTTGGCGCTCTGGTACCGCTTGCCATGCTGTAGCTAGGAGAACAGTCTATGGCTTGGGTGACTTGTGTCTTTGACAATTTTTGGGGCCTTCCTCTGACATTGTCTAGTACATAGGTCCTGGATGTCTGGAATGTTGGCCAAATTGATGTACTGGGCAGTACGCACTACCTCTCCCTTAATGTGAGCAACACAAAGGAGCTGATCGTGGACTATAGGAAAAGGAGGGCCGAACAGGCCCCCATTAACATCGACAGGGCTGAAGTTGGAGCGGGTTGAGAGTTTCAAGTTCCCTGGTGTCCACATCACCAATCATGGTCCAAACACACCATGACAGTTGTGAAGAGGGCACGACAACACCATTTCCCCCTCAGGAGACTGAAAAGATTTGGCATGGGTCCCCAGTTCCTCAAAAGGTTATACAGCTGCACCATCGAGAGCATCCTGACCAGTTGCATCACTGCCTGGTATTGCAACTGCTCTGCATCTGACCGTAAGGCGCTACAGAAGGTAGAGCGTACGGTCTTCTGAGCAGGTCAATGTAGGAGTAGGTGAAAGTCCCATACAGACAGCAGACAGACCAGTCTATAATCTCACAGGGGCTCCCAGTCATTGTCTAGTTTGCTTTTGGCTCCATAGAGAGTAGGGGGCTACATACACGTGACCTTGTCACAGGGAAAGCCAGGGGGGATGGGACTGGAGCTGTCTGAGCTTCCTGGTTTGGTGGGGTTACAGAGGTGAGGAGGAGGAAGAGGAATCAAAAGACCTCTGTTGTGTTTTCAGCCACATAAACACAAAGTAGCTCTGTCATACTGTACATTCCTGTAGATTGGAACAGATAGCTTTTAGTGAGTACAGTAGAATATCTAATCAGAGTGGAACAGTTACCTTTTAGTGAGTACAGTAGAATTTCTAATCAGAGTGGAACAGTTACCTTTTAGTGAGTACAGTAGGATATCTAACCAGAGTGGAAAGGGAACATTTTTGTGAGTAGAGTAGGATATATAACCAGAGTGGAACACATACCTTTTAGTGAGTACAGTAGCATATCTAACCAGAGTGGAACAGATACCTTTTAGTGAGTACAGTAGGATATATAACCAGAGTGGAACAGATACCTTTTAGTGAGTACAGTCGGATATCTAACCAGAGTGGAACAGATAGCTTTTAGTGAGTACAGTAGGATATCTAACCAGAGTGGAACAGATAGCTTTTAGTGAGTACAGTAGGATATCTAACCAGAGTGGAACAGATAGCTTTCAGTGAGTACAGTTGGATATCTAATCAGAGTGGAACAGATACCTTTTAGTGAATAGAGAAGTATATTTAACCAGAGTGGAAAGGAAACCTTTAGTGAGTAGAATAGGATATATAACCAGAGTGGAACAGATAGCTTTCAGTGAGTTGTAGTGTATTAGGATTATGTCTTTGTTAATGGTTTTTAAGTGGAACTGAAGGGATGTTTATTTTTGTTCAAAAGTAGCCATTTGTAGGGTGACGCCCCAGGGGAGACAGGTGATTGGACAGCAGGGGCAGCAACCCATATTTTTGCATTCTTTATAAGTATAGGCTGGAGGCAGAGGGGGTTGGAACAGACAGATTATCTGTTCTCCAGCCCTGCAGGGTCTGTAAACTTATGCTGACATCTTGTGATATTAATAAAACTTATAATCAAAGTGCAGCCTAAGCGGACTCTTTGTTTGACAGCAATAATCACCAGCATCGACGCGATACGACAAATGGGGGCTCGTCCGGGATCTGTCTGCATCGTTCTTTGTTCCATTCCTGAGTCGCGAGATGACTCATTGGGGGGCATTGGAAGGGTGTACCATGTAAATTACTTGGGTTTGTGCTGATGTGGTGTTATTGCGGTCGACTAAGGGTCTGTCATAATTATTCTGAAATTGTAGAGCAATTGATGGTAGTGAATAAAGGCAGATGAATAAGGCAGATATACGTATACAATTAGGGCATTGTGAATCTGATAAGACCTCGAAACGAGGCCATCATAGGATGGGCCAATAAAATCCTCTAACGCATTAGGTGTTGAAGGTCAGTCTGGGACTGGGGTTTTTCGAATATATTCTATTGCATGTTACCGCTCAGCGGGTGGTTGACGAAGCATTTTGTTTGATGTAACTCATAGGATATCCATGAACTCACGGCAGCATAAAGTTAGTGGTAAAGGAAAAATAATTTAGGCACAATGCAGGTTATATTGTTACGTGTTGCAAGCCACATGTTAGATACATGCTAATGCTAAATGCTAATGCTAATATGCGCCATGCTACATGCTAACGTGTGACCTTAGAGGGCCATTGCGATGGAATAAAGCCCCTTAAATTATGTTTGTGTGTGTGTAGAATTCAGGTTCTATGCGTTGTGAGCTCTGTTAAATGTTGTTTGACTATGAGGGGAAAACTGAGTTACAGCAGGACTGTTAACTGTGTGTTTGGGTTGGGGAGAGAACTGATAATTTCCCTTCCACGATGAAATCGTATTTTTGAATGTATTGCGCCTGCGTGTGATTTTACTACACTAGGTTACGACACGTGGGAGTTTACGGCACGAGATTATGACACGTTTGATTTTACGGTACTAAACTACAACACGGGATTTTACTAAAACTACAACGAGGGGGATTTTGGGTAAATCGGTCATACTTCTGTTGGACTGTGCTGCAGGGGGAGACAGAGAAACAGACACAGACAAAGAGAAGAGATTTGAAAACGAAGGGAATCTTCTAGTTGTTACGTCGGCTGTTGTTTGAAAATGAAACTATTTGTTGAGATCTATTACATTTATAAATTAGATATATGTTGACGGATTAAAATAAATAAAATAAAATGACGGATTAAAATAAAAAAAAATGTTATTGAGCTATTTAGTCCTGAGTTGATTCTTAGAGCGAATGGGAGTGGAGGAATATTGAATGGTTGAAGTGACTCAGTGACTGCAAAGACTGCCAAATTATTTTTATGTGTCTCTGTTCTTTTGTCATATGAGAGGAACGATGGGGCGAGAGGAGAGGAGAGAGAGAGAAAGAAAGAGAGGTGCTGACGTATACATCACGTGACGCGACAGAGGATCGAGTCAAAAGTTTTTTTTTTTGGTGCTGTTCTGTTTACAAAATCTTCCCCTACAGGATATTTGATGTTATGACAATTTCACAGAGGCTTGGCAAATACTTATTCATAAAAAATTTGCATTTTGGAGTTTCTGTGCATCACTTGGCTTGATTAGAGTTGTGTTGGGAATCGAGGACTGACATTATTCTGTAAAATTAAGATAATTAGGTGCTTATAGAGCAAGGGGGTTTATGGGTATTGTAGTGTTGTAGGGTTAGAAGGCTTTGTTTATGGGTATGGTAGTCTGAAGGTGACTACTTGCATTTATTTTCCAGATGGGTTGTGGTAAGATAGCCACTAATTGATAAATTGGTAAAATAGGATATGGAAATAAAAAATTGTTTTAAATATACATCATTTTTAATTTATTTTTTAA